GATTTGACATTTTTACTTCAATCCTCGGTATCTTTTGTTATCTATTCATGATGCCTTCTGGAAGAGTTCCTAAAGATGGTTGTCTTAGGCTGGGTTCTCTAGAGAAACAAAACCAGTAAAGCATATAAATATATGTAGAGAGAGATTTATATCAAGGGAACGGCTCACACAGTTGTAGAGGCTGGAACATCCCAAGTCCATGGATCAGGATAGAGGCTTCTGTCGAGTCACGTAGCCACAGAGGCTGTTCAACCCAAGATCGGCAGGGCTCCTGCTCACAGGCTGTGAAGATCAACAAATCCCAAGATTGCCAGGCAAGACTGCAAGGCTTCTCCTGATTCATGTAGCTGTCGGGATCATCTAGTCCTGCTATAACAGAAATACCACAAGTGGATGGCTTTAGCAACACAAAAGTTTATTCTCTCACGGTCTAGTAGCCTAGAAGTCCAAATTCAGGGCACCAGCTCCAGGGGAATGCTTTCTCTCTCTGTTGGCTCTGGGGGAATGTCCTTGTCATCAATCTTCCCCTGGTAAAGGAGCTTCTCAGCACAGGGACCCCAGGTCCAAAGGACATGCTGTGCTCCCAATGCTTCTTTCTTGGTGGTATGAGGTCCCCAGCTTCCTGATTATCTGCCTATATGTCCCCATCCTAAGTTTCAGGATGCCATTTCTTCCCAATCAATGCCCTTACTTTAACTTCAGACACCTCTCAAGGTTGGCAATTGAGCTGGTGTTGTAATTCAGTCAGTCTTTCAATAAGACTCTGGGTTTGGTTTTTGGCAATTTCAGCTCTGTTACCACAAGAAATAAGGCTTTCTTTCAAAGCTCAAGTGGAAGCCTTGAGGTCATTTATGTGGCACTTGAGCTTTGACTCTGAAGCCGTGAGCGCATCTCTTTCTTCCACCAGTTTGTCTAGCAAAAGTAGAACCAACTAACCAGCTTCCTTATATTTCTCATTCTGACAGAAATATAGAAAGATATCACACATGTGTTCACCCAGAGCCTCACCTTTCACCAATACCTGATCTACTGGTGGTGATATTTTGCGTATTTGTATTGCTACCTCATGCCATGGATTAGCGGTGCTGTCTTAACTGTTGGAAGCAGAGTCATCAACATCTTTAAGACTAACCAGACTTGAGAACCAATTTAGAAAAGTCATTCTTACAATTTTGTTTCTCTAGAACCACTCTCAACACCAAATGTCTTAGGCTGGGTTCTCTAGAGAAGCAAAACCAGTAAAGCATATAAACATATATAGAGAGAGATTTATATCAAGGAAATGGCTCAGATGATTGTAGAGGCTGGAATGTTCCAAGTCCGTGGATCAGGATAGAGGCTTCTCTCGATTCACGTAGCCACAGAGGCTGGTGAACCAAGATCGGCAGGTTGGAAAGCAGGGCTCCCACTCACAGGCTGTGAAGACTGATGAATCCCAAGATCAGCAGATATGCTGATAGCTCAAGTCCCAAGAACCAGAGGTCAGACGAACAGGAGGCAGCCGCAAGATCCAGAGCAAGCAAAAAAGCCAGAACGTCTGCTTACATTTGGATGCAGGCTACACCCCCAAGGAAACTCCCTTTCAACTGATTGACTCCTCACAGCATATTCTATCATGGGAGTGATCACATATAAACACTGAGAATCATGGCCCAGCCAAGCTGACATGCAATCTTAACCATCATAGTTGTCTTCCATTTATTAATTGTTGTTTAACTGTATCCATTCTACCATTTAATACATCCACTGAGTTCTGTAGTCCACTCAGTTTTCATATCCAGTATATCCATCCAATTCATTCTTCTCCATTCATGCTTGCTACTGATTTGTTTCCAACAGCCCCCCTCATCTCTTTGAAGGTATTTGTTATGTTTATTTTAAATTCTTATTCTGTTGATCTATTGGTTCTGTTTCCTTTGGATAGGTGTTGATTCTGTTATCTTTTATAACAGTTGCCCTCTTCAGACATCTCATTGTTTTTCCTTACAAGCTCATGTGGCCTCGGGAACACCAACTACCTTGAACTGTCCCTGGAATGTTGAATGGCTCCCTGCTATGTTCTGCGGATGTATGTATTCAGTGTACTTGGACAGTTAGAGAGTCTCTGGTGTTGCAGTCTGAGCTCATCCACTCCCCCTTTGCCTCCCTCGACCAGGCAACACTGTCCCTCTGTAAACCTTCCAGAACCTCCCCCCAGACATTGCTCTTTTCTAGGGGCAGCTTCCCTCTGTTGCAACTGCCTGCCCATGGAAGAGGGACCGCTCAGGGTTGTCCTGCCTGAGTGCATTTGTATCTGCTCCAATGCTTTCCCCCATCACCCTACCACTCTGGGCTGACATTAAGTTGTCACTGGGATGATGCTGTTTTTTGACCATACAGTGGCAGTGGGCTATACAGTGATCTTCCCAGGGCAATGTGAAGGAGAGAAAATGGCATGATCTAACCCCCATCACTAGTACTTAGCCCTCTTCTGCTCTGGACTGCCACTTCACACACACACACACAACCACACAAACACATCCCACCACTGTCTGCCTCCGTAGGATTTCCTCACAAGTGTCCATCCACCTCCCTCGGTTCTACAGAATCTCCAGGGACAGAAGCCAACAACCTTTCCTGATCTGCAGTCTTGTGGGAAATCTGAAATTAGCCTCATTTTTAACTGTGGCTTTTTTATTACTGAAGATGAAGTGTCATCTTCAAGCTTCCATATTTTTTTTCTTCCATAAAATGAGACATTTGAAATAAATGATCTCAAGTTGTTCTAGCTTTAAAATCCTGTAATTCCGTGTGGCAAACGAAGAAGTGACAGGCGAAATACACTGAGATATTTTAAGTCTACACAGTTACCAAGGAAATAAAGAGACATATGGGGGAATACCCAGCAAGGGAATATCCATTAGCGAGAATGGATGTCAAGTTTAGAAGGTGGGGCGTCAATCAAGTTCCAAGGAACTAGGAGAAGGGGGAGGATGTTGACAGAGGTACACAGGGGAAAGAGAAAGCCACTGGTTAAAAGAAGGTTTGGGGGAGAATCAGCAAATCTTGAGGATGACAAAAATGACTAATGACCATGGGGGCAGATGCAAAAATGTTCTTTTTATTATGAGATATTTGAGACATACCAAAAAGTATAAATAATGTAATGAACACTTGTGTTCCCAATGTCCAATCTAAAACATTACACATCACCAACAGCTTGCCTGTGGTTGATGCCTTGCCTGCCTTCCCCCAACACCATGGCTTCTTAATTGGCTGACAGTGGGCAAGATACTTAACCTCTGTGAGCGTCCATCTTTTCATCGGTAAAATGGAGATGTTAATCATAGTACCTACCTCCAGAGGGTTGTTTTAAGAATTAAGCAAATTAGTGAGGTTAGTACTATTAGTGCTATTACTATTATTCATCCAAATGTTAAGTAAGTACCTTCATGTGTCAGAATTGTGTCAGGCTCTGGGGACAAACAATGAGAGAAACGTACCCTTTGAGGAGTTTATGGTTATTAATTGCTCTTGTTGCTCTCACCCTACTGGTTCTGATTCTCCCGGGTGGAGAAGCCGTTTCTGGTTTAGGGGCTTGTAGGGGGTGAGTGGGTTTGTTCTGGGTGGGATAGGGGCTGTCCTGCTGTCTCTGCTGAGCCCACCGAGCTGACTGGAAAGCGACCGGACTTGTGTTTCTGACTTCAGGAATCCCCGCTAAGCGTCCTGTTCTGGAGAGGCAGCTGCGGGGAGGATGGAGAGGAGGAGGGCGGGGGTGGTCAGCGCGCCTCCAGCACGTCTTTTCCTCACCGCGGGCCCGGGAATCCGAGATGGAGGGTAGCCAGCAGGGGGCGCCAGAGGACCGGCAATGCCGCGGACAGGGCGGTTGCTGAGCTCCCGACAGACACGCACCCCACCCGGGCTTCCCATCCAGACAGAGAGGAGAGCCAGGCCGCACAGTCCGCGTCGGGGAGAGGAAGCAGCGCGAGAGCAGAGAGGGAGCTCCGGAGCCTGTCCGCAGGCAGGACCGAGCTCGAGCGCCGACCGTTAACCTCCCAGCCAGAGTCTAGCAGGGAGACACACAGCGTCTGCCCCACACGCCAGGTCTCAAATCTAGACGTTGGACCTCAAGGCCAAATGAGTGTATGCATTTACCCTGACAGGGTCAGGGAAGGCAGCCGTGACAAAGAAAACATTTAAAATGTGTGAAATACACAAGACCCTACTTGGACATTTCTTCAAAATTTAATAATCTGAGAACTTCTAAATGGGGCACTGGCCCAAGTCTCTTGCCCTCCTCCATACCCGTTGGCCGTTATGTCTTCAGTCCAGGCTTCTCACAAATCCTCACACACCCAGACTCCATACACACTTTTTACCCACTACTTAGTTGTCAACCTCAGGCCGCCTCCCACCTTGCGGAATCTATCTGCAACCCCTCTTCTGCACATCCCGGCAGGCCCACGTTTCTCTGTCCAGTCTCACCCCTGCCTCAGCTAAGCACCTCCTCTCCTTTCTCCTTGGCCATCTGTCAGAGCCCACCTGACCCGGGAGGGAGGCCCAGGAGCAGGGCTCCCTCACAAGGACACCCGCCTCCTAAAACCCCTTATCTCAGCCAGGACACCCAGGCCCTGCCTCCCAGCTCTGGGCACCATGGCAGCCAGCATCTACTCAGGCCTAACTCTCTCCCAGAGTTCCTGAGGGGAGGGCAGAGTAAGGAGTAGGACCAGTGGGGCAGGGGGCAGAGGGCTAAGCCTGGGTTCTGTGTGTAGTCCACAGAACCAAGCAGCCTATTGCTAGGTAACCAGAACCTCACATCACCACCCTAACACATCATCCTGAGCCGCAGATTCTGTCTCCAGCTATCCTGGGCAGAGTCTCTCAAATACCCACCACCCCCTGTGGAACCCTGAAAGCAGGAGGAGGAAAGAAACCAGAGCCCTGCCATCACCCCCTGGGATCCGCCACCCACCATTTCACCGTGAGGAGCCAGCTGCCTGGGCCGTGAGGTCACCGCAGCCATGAGTCTGGGAATCATGGAAGAGGAGGATCTGGCCGAGTACTTCCGGCTGCAGTATGGGGAGCGGCTGCTGCAACTGCTGCAGTGAGTGTCTGAGAGCCTGACCTGCCTTAGGCCCCCACCCTAACCCCCTATGCCTCACCTTCCTGCTCCTGACCTGTCCCCTCCTACTCCTATAAGCCAGAGCTCCAAGTCACCCTGACACCAATCCACCCCCATTATCCTGATTCACCCATCACCCTGCCCCAGCTCACTCTGAATGCCAGCACGTCTCTCTCTCCTCAACACCCCAGTCCTTTCACTCTGGTGGGGGAGATGACCCCCTTACCTCCCCATGGGTATGTCTCTCCACTGGTTACTGCCCAGTCCCAACCTGCCTCAGGAGCCCAGAACCCACAGGCCCCTCTTGCTGGTGTCTTGGGCAGGAAGTTCCCCTCCATTGAGGAGCAGTCGGAGTCCCCATCCATCCGGCTGCTAGAGAAGAAGAAGGAGGCCAAGATCATGCACCATGCCATGGAGCAGAAGAAGGAGGTGGGGGCCGAGGGGACAGGGTGCTGGGGTGCAGGTCTCTTCCCTCTGAGGAGAACAGAAATGATCTGAGTCTATGGTACTATCATTGTGCTGGGATGCTCTGCTCCAAGCCAGGTGTGGGATAGAGAGGGAGAGGCCTCGTACGTACCTTCTGAGCCTGGGGATAGAGGCTCTGGACAGGGGAAGCTGGGACCTTCCTCAGTACACACGTCTGGGGCCCTCCTGACCGCTCTACTTCCCTCCCCCACCCCCAGACATTTAAATGCAAGATGGAAGCCATGAACCTGCGCTGGGAGGAGCTGGGTGTCAAGGAGGCCCAGCTGACAGCCCACATCCAGAAGTTTGAGCAATTCATCCAGGTAGGTAGCAGCGGTGTGGCCTAATGCAGCAGGTCGATGGGGCCCACCTCTGCAGTTCAGCAAATTACCCTTCTCCTCCTCCTCGGTTTTGCTGACTTTCTCTCCCTGGGTTCAATGCCTGGCCGGTACTCCAGCAATGCCTAGTGCTTCTGCCTTCCGATCCCTCATTTACAGCTCTGTTTGGAATTCCCTGTTTACCTGGCCCCTCTAGATTGCTGTTTCCCATTTCCTTGCCAATACCTAGTGCACAGTTTATCTAGGGAATGAATGAATGAATGAGCATACCAGAATCAGGGCTGGGCACTTGGGGATACAAAGATGAGTAAGACACGTTCTCAGTCCCGGCCCTTCCCGCCACTCCATCCTTGCCCTGAAGGCCCAGACAGGAAGTAGTCGAAGGAGCAGGCACCAGAGTCCATTCCTGGACAACCCGTCTCAGTGGGTCCTTAGAGGAGGGATTTAATCATCTTAAAGGCCAGCCAGCACTTATTGAACCCTTAAGGGCCTGGCCCAGCTCCAGAGGCTCACTGCCGCCCTCGGCTATAGAGGGGCCCGCTCTTAAGCATCTTCCTCCACACTCGTGCCTAAACCAGATAGGAAAAGAAGCTGGTAGACTGGGAATTCGAGGACCAGGCCTTTACTGGCCAGAGAAAAGCTCATGGAGTGGTTGGAGCAGCAGGAGATTTGGGGTGAAGGGAGCTCCAGATGGCTACCAGAGGACCAGCAGCGTTGAGGTCCCTGAGAGTTTGTTACAGATGCCTGGACTCTCTTCTCTCCCTGCTTTCAGCAGGTGTGAGGTCGGTCCCAGGCATCTGTATTTTTACAAAGCTCTCCAGGAGTTCCAGATGTACAGTGGGATTTGAAAACCACTGGCTTAGGACCCTCAGTCCTCTCCTGGGCTTACAGAGCAGAAAACAAACCGCCGAGAACCTTCCTCCGTGCCGTCCAAATGCTAGCCCCACACATGGCGCCCATGGGGATCAACGGAGGCCCTGGAGGGGAATGGGCCACACAAGTGCCGGGTGAGGGGTGGGTTTGTCTCCTGCATCTTGGAGGGAGGGCTTGGCGGTAGGAAGGAGAAGGCAGGATTGGACTGATTGCAGTAGCTGCGCCTCATGTCGTCTTGGGTATCAAATTGCCTGCACCATCTTCTCCAGCCCTGGCCTGGTGCCAGTCCAAGCCCCTAGGAACTTATCTCCCGGAATGTCTTCATCCCCTTCAGGCCCATCACCTGTCTCATCTCCTTGTAGCTCAAGCACCACTGCCTCAGCTTTTGGAAGAAGGAGAAGGGCTGCTGCCTCTCATTTATATAGTTGGAGAAACTGAGGCACCAAGTACAAAGTCAGGAGAAAAGTCGGGCCTCCCAGCTCTGGGCCCAGGAATTTACCCCATGACAAATGACCCCCACTAAGAACAGAAGCAACAGAAGATTTGTCAGAAGGTTTACTTCTGGAAAGCCCACTTCTGGGCTTTCTCACCCTTCCCCAGGGTTGAGCTCTCTCCAGAGGCTGAGCCTGACGATGTGGTCCTCCCCAGTCCACACTCTGAAGTCTGGAACTCCTGCTACAGAATCAGAATTATTTACCAAGGCCTCCTCTTAACTTTGGTCTAAACCTCTGTCCTCACAGCCTCCTGAACCCCAACTCAATCCACAGAAACCCCCCAACTAGCTTCAGATAACTTTGGAGATTCTTCTCCTCTGTGCCTCCTCTCCCAGTGGGTGGCCCAGCCTTCCCTGCCCATCCTTAGAGTGTCCAGAACTCAGCAAACAGGCCTTGTGAGGGCCCTGGGGGGCTGAGGGCCCCACCAGCCACTGGCAGGCCTGACTGGTGCCCCTGCTCTGGCCCCAGGAGAATGACCAGAAGCGGATCCGCGCCCTGAAGAAAGCCAACAAGGAGCGAGAACTCAGGAGGCAGCGCATGCGGGAGCTGGCCAAGGCCAAGCAGGAGATGGCAGCTCTGCGGCTGGAGCACCAGCGGCTGAGTGCCAAGCTGCAGGACTACTCCATCTTCAACAAGTACCTGGAGAAGGTGGTGGAGAACTCCGAGGTGAGTCCCGGGGGCGAGTGGGGAAGAGCTTGGCGCCCACCTCAGCCCCACCTCCCCTTCCCCAGGGTGTGGGGCTATGGGTGGCATTTCAGCCTGAGCTGGCTGGGACTTGGGGGCTCCTGGGGGGGGTCTGCAGTGACAGTCACCTTGGAAGGGTGCTGGAAAGGGGCCCTAGACTCTAGTGCCTGGAGCCCTCAGAATGTTGGGGTTTGTGCCCATGAGGCCCAATCATGCCTACCCGATCCATGCAGACACTCCCTCCTCAAGACACAAACCCTGAGAACACCTACTGCCCTTCACGCACACAATCTCAAGGCAAAATGACATCTCCATAGTGAGCGGGGCTCCCTTCTCTCTTGAACCCAGGGAGCAGTGAGAGTCTACAGAGCCTCCAGCCTTGGTCTAGAGCCATCGCTTGCCCCCTCTCCCTTTCCAGAATCTTGTGTCTCCTCTAAGCTCACATCTAAGTGGTTGGAAGGCCCCGGATATCCCTGTGGACTTTTTTCCCAGGGAGGCTTTTGTTCCATAGGGTGAGGCTTAAAGATGAAGAGAAGCTGCTGCCCTGGGCTGGATATTGATCAGAAAGCTTGTAAGAAGCTTTTGGAGTCCCGGGGTGGTACAAATAGTTAAGCACTCAGTCACTAACTGAAAGGTTGGTGGTTTGAACCCACCCAAAGGCACCTTAGAAGAAAGGCCTGGCCTGGCCATCTGCTTCTGAAAGGTCACAGCCTTGAAGACCCTATGGGGCACAGATCTACTCTGACACACGTGGGGTTGTCGTAAGTCGAAACTGGCTTGACAGCAACAGGTGTGGATTTTGGTTTTAGGAAGCTTCCAACGCCACCCAATGCTTTTGCATCTTATTTTTTGCTAACCATTAAATAGCACTTACTGTGTACCAGGTGCTGTTCTAAGAACTTAGATACCATTTGCCATCGAGTCGATTCTGACTCGTAGTGACCCTACAGGACAGAGTAGAACTGCCCCATAGGGTTTCCAAGGAGCAGCTGGTGGATTCAAACTGCTGACCTTTTGATTAGCAGCTGAGCTCTTAACCACTGTGCCACCAGGGCCCCTGGTGAACTTGCATAGGTATGTACATTTGTTCCTCACAATAGCCCTTTGAGGTAGTATCCCTATTTTACACATGAGGAAACTTTCTCCTCTATGCCACCTCATTTTTTTAAATTCATTTACTCCCCAAATTCGTATTAAGCATCTGCACTGTTCTAAGACCCAGCATCCCTCCCCAGTTGCTGCCCCAGCTTTCCTGACCTTATAGCCAAGTCTCCAGAAGGAGCTGTCTATACTCGCAGTCTCCACAGCCTCGCTTTCCATTACTCCTTCAGCAGTACAGTCTGGCTCCTGCCAGCCTCTCCAAAGTCACCCGTCACCGGACCTATGGGACTCATTTCTGTCCTTAGCCTGGCATTAGCCGCTGCTGGTCACCCACCTCTCTAGACACTCACTGGCCCTTGGCTGCCTCTGTGCCTGCACCTTCACGGTCTCCTGTGTGATCACCCATCTCCACCCTCCCTCAGGCCCTCACCGTCTCTCACAGCGAGGCCTCCCTGGGGAGGCCACCGCACAGTTTCACAGTTTGCAAAGCGTTGGTGCTTGCGCTTTGTCTTCCTCTCAGCAAGGAGCCAGCTAAGAAGAGGGTAGGACAGAGGGACAGAGAGGAGAGGGTCAGAGAGGAGACTAGGAAGAGACTGCCTGGTGGGGCTGGACTTGTTTCTTAGGGATTGGAGGTCTGGTGGTCTATCTTTATGTGTCCGTGTGAGTGATGTCTGTGTAAATGTCTCTGCGAGTATAAGTTGCATGTTCAGGTCTGGGTTTGTGTCTATGTCTGTCTGAAGCCTTCTGTGTGTGTGTGTGTGTGTGTGTGTGTGTGTGTCTGCTGGGGGAACTAGGTTTTGGAGCAACAAAGACAAGCTTTTGGGCCGGACCTCCACCTGCCCCTGCTGCTTCTCCTCCCCCAGTGTCTTTGACTTGAGAATAAAATGAGGAGAGGAAGGGAGAGAAACTGGGAAAACACCCAACTTAGTGCAGAGCAGGGAGCCCTGGTGGCGCAGTGGTTAAGAGCTCGGCTGATAACAAGGTCAGCAGTTCGAAACCACCAGCCACTTCTTGGAAAGCCTTTGGGGCAGGTCTACTCTGTCCTCGGAATCGACTTGACCGCAACGGGTTTGGTTTGGTTGGGGTTTAGGGCAGAGCAAAAAGCCCCTCTGGTCTGATTGTTTTGCATGTGCTGGGTACTGGGCTCAGGGCGTCCCTCCCGTAACTTCATTCCGTCTCCTCATACGCCAGCAGAGGAGGAAATGGAGGGTCTCGCAGCTGATCAGTGGCAGAGCCCTTGCTTTTCCTCACCCCCTGTGGGCACCGCCACGTCACTGAGAACTGCTCATCTGAAGGTCTCCTTGAGGCCAGGGCTGCAGGGACCCTCCACCCTCACCCTCCCTTCTCACCCCACTCGAGCGTGGCAGCATGTGACACTGTTTGGGCTCCTCCCGGAAACACCTTCACCCTGCCTCTGTGTCACCTCACACCATGACTGCCCTCACCCCTCTGGCCACCCCACTCAGTCTCCTCTGGGCTCCTCTTCCTAGGCCCATCTGTAAACGCTGTGTTCTTCAGGTCTTTGCTGCCGACCCCCCACTTTCCCCCCTGAGGAATTCCGGGGCCTCAGCTGCCACCCATGTCTGTGGTCATCCACACTGTCCCCCCACCCCGACACCTGAGGCAGCAGTGGCTCCCTGTGGTGGATCCCCATCCATGGCAGGGGGTATATCCCCATGGGGGGGTGTTGGGAGACACAGATGCACAGCTTTTTAAAGTCCCTTGGTGTGTTAGTTACCTAGTGCTGTTGTAACGCAAATACCACAAGTGAGTGGCTTTCCAGAACACAAATTTATTTTCTCATAGTTCTGGAGGCTAAAAGTTCAAATCAGGGTCTCGGCCATGTCGATTCCTTCCTTGTGGGTGGTCCCAGGCGTTCCTTGGTAACTTGGCTTGTATGTGATTCTCACATGACGTCTGTCTTCTCCCTGCCTCCTCCAGCTGCCATGTGTGCATTTCGGAGTCTAATCTGCTCTTTTTATAACTCAGAAGTGATTAGATTTAGAATCCACTTGGGTGGGCCTAATTAACACAACAAAGAAAGCCCTTTTTCCAGACAGGTTCATATCCACAGGTATAGGGGTTAGGATTCCAACACGTATTTTGGGGTGGATACAATTCAATCCATAATACCCAGGGATACGCGTATAGAACACTCATCTAATTTATTTCTGCATGAGTCCCAGATCTGTGTTACTTCCTGCCTTCTAAGGTACTACCTAACCTGTCTCCCCCTATAAAAACCAAACCCATTGCTGTTGAGTTGATCCCACCTCATGGCCACCCCATGTATTACAGAATAGAAATGCCCCATAGGGTTTTCTTGGCTGTAATCTTTACAAATAGTTGATTTAATATTGGTATGACTTTTTTATTTGAAGGTGAGGGGGTAGGTAGGAAACGAAGCCTTGGTGGCACCAACGGTTAAGGGCTTGGCTGCTAACTGAAAGGTTGGTGGGTCGAACCCATCCAGCGGCTTCATAAAAGAAACACCTAGCAATCTACTTGCAGAAAGATTACAGCCAAGAAAACCCTATGGCGCAGTTCTACTCTGTCACATGGGTTCATGATCAGTCAGAATCAACTTGATGGCACCCAACAACAACAACAAGTTAGAGAAGATTACCATATTAAAAAGGAGTCCCAAGGTGGCCCAAATGGTTAAGTGCTGGCCTACTGACTTAAAGGTTGGCAGTTCGAAGCCACGAGAGGCACCTTAGAAGAAAGGCCTGGTGATCTGCTTGCAAAAGGTCACAGCCTTGAAAACCCTATGTGCAGTTCTACTCTGCAACACATGGGGTCACCATGAGACAGAACTGACTCGGTGGCAACTGGTTTTTACCATATTAAAGAAGCAGATAAATGATACGGTATGTCTCAAATTCAGAGATAGTACAATGTATACCTTAGAACTGAGGAAACTGGGTATGTCTCTGGCCAGTATCTTTCTCCTAAGCTTCAGGCCACTGTATCTATATCCTTGAGACCACACCCCAACTCATCTGCTTCCTCCCATCCCCAGGCCAGCCCTACTGCTGATGTGTTCTGGGCTGGGGAATGGCACAGCCACCCACTCACAGCCGGGCCAGAACTCAGGCCTCAGCCTTGACTCCTCCCTCTTGCTCACTCCACACAGCCATCAATCACCAGATCTGCTCTGTTCTGCCTCTGAAGTATTTCTGGAATCCATCCCCTGTCCCTGCCCTCATCCGGACTACCAATGTACCTCATCTGGAGTTCAACTTTGTGTTATTTCTGGACAGCCTGCTTGGCGGCCTACAGCCAACATGATCTTTCTTCCTTACCTCTTCTTTCCTTGCTTTCTTCCTTTCTTCATTCGTTCCTCTCTCCTTCTCTCTCTTCCTCTCTCTCTCTCTCCCACTCGCCTCTTCTTCCTCCTTCCCATTCTCCTTTCCTCTCTCTCTCTTCATTTCTTTCAAATTATTTTAAGTACATGAAAAGTAATGAGAAATGCATAACAGCACCCAAGTACTCACCACATAGCTTTGTCAAATCTTAACATTTTGCCTTATTTGCCCTGGATTCTTCTTTTTCTTAAGAAATAAAATACCATAGGTAGTCAAAGCCCCTTTGAAATCGCATTCTTCTTTCCCCTTCCTCAGAGTTAACCAGTATCCTGATTTTCAAATTTCTCGTTCTTATGCTTGTTTTTATTCTTTTGCAACATATTAGCAATTGCCCTTGAGTCAACTCTGACTCATGGTGACCCCATGTATGTCAGAGTAGAACTGTGCTCCATAAGGTTTTCATTGACCAATTTTCCAGAAATAGATTGCCAGGCCTTTCTTCTGAGGTACTTCTAGGTGGACTTGAACTTCCAGCCTTTCGGTTAGCAGCCAAGTGCGTTAACCATTTCCAAA